CCCGAATTCCAGCGTGGGCTGTACGCTGCAAACCTGGCAGGCCTAGTTTGGGATCAGCCCATCTCCGCACGAGTGCTACAGCCAAGTTTACCTCTGTTATCGCTGCTCATTTTCAAGGCTGGGTTTTGTACTCAAAAAACCAAAATCTTTAGTCTGTTGGCTGCAAATCATGCAGATTACAGCAATCGTGGGCTGCGCAGCTAGCCAGGCGACGCGTGACCAGGATCCATCCAGCCTGGGAAGGACAAGGGAGCAGAGTCACCTGCCAGTGCTGCCTCCTTGGAGCTTTTGTCCAGGGGAAATCCCACCGGGACACGAGGGGGAGCCGAGACGCGCGCTGCTCCGTGGTGACCGGCGCGTGGCTGCTGCCCAGCGCCGCGGCGGTGCTGCCGCCCGCATGTGGGTGCCCTGCGCTCCCGCGAGGGGAAGGCGGCTGCAGCGAGGGGCACCGCGCCGGCCCGCCGCCCCCCGAGAACTGACCAGGACGCGCGGGTCCGCGGGGAACACGGAGCCAGGTACCCCCGAGGGACGCGTGCGCCGCCGGCTGCGCCGCGAGGGGAAGGATCGGTGCGACGGACTGGCAGAACCGGACTGTTCTTCACACTCAGTCCTCTAGGGAAACGCCATCCCGCCAAGCTGCAACAAGGGACTTGCTTCTGAAAAGCATCCCCCTGGCTTCTGTAAAACAAGACACCTTCTAGAAGCAAAGTGGAACCACCGAGGAGTTTGCCAAAGATTTGCCCCACAAGGGCTGCTGACTCTTCTTTGCAGCTGGAAAAATAACCAAAGTTCTCAAATGCTGCCATTTTGCTCTGCAAACAGAAAGGCTCTCCAAGATCCTGGTCGCAAGCGCCGCAGGGGTTGGACCTGCTCTTGAGCGTCAGTATCTGCGTTTACAGCGTGTCTGCAATTCAGCCGGGCCACGGGGGAACGTGTTCCTGAAGCTTTCATGGGAGAAACGAGACCGCCAAGTGAACTGCCTCTTTCTCACAGAGGTTCATATTAATTAATGTGACTGACTCTTGTTCTGTTACCTGTTCAGATTTATCCCAGTAGTTGGTGTCTGACAAGTCCAGCAAGTTACAGTATCAGCAGAGAGAGAGCGAGAGAGAAACCATCTCCATACTTTTAAGTTCATCACTTTCAGCCATGTATGATTATAGTTTAATTCAGAACTTTATTTTTTCATTAAAACTGTTTTAATGAATCATGGTTTATTCTGGGCTCCAGAGTCCGCTATTGTGATTTACGAGTGTGCAAAACCGTTGTCCCAGGTGGGGGCAAAACTCGACCAGAAAGTCTTCGTCAGCCACGTGCACAGGTGAGTCCAGGACAGGGAAACGCGGCAGACAGAGCTCCTGCGCGTGCCGAGGCCAGCGGTGCCCCCGCTCCGGGGAGTCCCCGCTGGGGCGGCCCGTCCGTCCCGCTGCAGAGCCGGGAGCCACCCCCGGCAGTGCCGCGAGGACCCCGAGCGACGCTCCTGCCCTGCTGCCGCTCCGTCTCCTGCCCAGCCACGCAGTTCAGGGCAGCAGCCTCTCCCGAGGGCTTGGCAGCCCTTCGGGGGCTGCTTGACCCGTTTTGGAGGGCACTGCACCATGCTAAAAGCCTGGGCCCTGCTTGCTTAGAGCTGCTACTTTGGTTCTGGTGGTAGCTCTACACCATTCAGATGGATAAACAGGAGCCCCAAAGGAAGCTGTAGCTGCTAAAATGGCAGTTTCTCCCAGAACAGAACAGTGCTGGCAGGAAGCACGTTCTTGAGGACTGCTCTGGGTCTCTCTTAAGAGAGTAAGACAGGAGGAGCCGGAGGAAGGAACTCTTGGGCAGAGGGGAGCACCCGAGAGCAGCCGCAGGGCAGGAGCCCAGGGCTGGTCCACGCGGCCCAGCCCGGCCCTCGGGCTGCAGGGGGGACGCCGCGGCGGGAGCCCCGTTCCGCGTACGAGGCGCCGCCGCGCTCGGATTCCGGCACGAAGCTAACGTTCCTCTGCCCCGTGCCCGAATTGCTTTACAGCCCGATATAAAGATAATGCTGAGGAAGAAATAGAGGGGGAAGGCAGGGAGAGCCAGATCATCTTAGCTGCCTCACGCACACGAGCAGCAATTCCTTTGCTCCAAAAGGGAAGACTGCTGCAAAAGCATCAGTTTTCCTTGATGAGAACAAAGCTGCGACCACAAGGAAAGCATCAGCTTGAGCCTGAGCCTCGGAGCAGCTGCTGAAACATCTCCAGGTGCGGGACATCTCGGTTAAGTTGCAGGGGGGAGTTTAATTTCAAGACTGTCCTAAAGATGCAAAGGGAACGTGGGCTGATTTTCAGGTGAATATAATTTATTGCACAATTAACATTTAATTTCAGATCAGTAGAACACTGGTGAGAACTGAAATAAAATCCCACATCAGGAGCCCATTGCGGCTGAATCTTTCTTTAACAAGTGAATGACACTTACTTGTATGAATTTGGGAGAGGAGATGCATTTGTTTTGGAACAGCTGAAGTCTGCTTTGGGAGATTAATTTTTCTATTGCAGTTAAATTCCACAGGGCCTTAAGACCACGACTTGAGCAAGAAGAAGCCCAGAAAAAGGGGCACAGGTGCTTGCTAAGAAGTGGTTTGCTGTAGGAATTGTCAAGGGCAGCAATGCGGTGCCAATACATGTATTTTGTAAGCCTCTTGCATGTAGGTGTTAAAGGCTGTTTTGGAACATGCCACGAGGTGAACTACAGCTCTGTGGCCCAGGAGCAGCTATAATTTCTCCTTTTTCCACAGGCACATATATACATAAAACAAAATCCCTCAGGGCTGTGGATGGAGACCCTTCCCTTTGCTGTTTGCCAGAACACGTGCCCCTTTCCTGGCAAAATCCTGGGCATGGCTTCCATGCAAAACCACTGCGGGGAATTTGTCACAACTAATGCTTTTTAGAAGAGGCAAGTGAAGTTTAAGGTTTCAAGTCTTTACTCCATTTGGGACCTCTCCTTACTGTGGTCTTGTTTACTACATCCACTACATTCCTCTGTTTTCTAGCAATAAATTACATAGGAAGAGATTATGGCAGCACCAGATCTGAATGAAATGAATTATGGTCCTGCCCGTTTACTTCCCTGCTTTCTTGAAAACCCCAAGTTGAACAGGGTTCTAGGTGGCAGAATTGAATTAAGGAGACCATTATATCCGGCACCCTCATCTGAAGCAGCACTGTTTAAAAGGGGTGTTACGAGCAGCTGGATGGATTCATGGTGAAAAGGTCCATGTTCCATTACAAAAATCAACAAACTTCATTCCAAACATACTTGTCCATAACAAGTACATTTCAAATGTAGATTTGGGTTGTTGGCCTCCCTCCAACAACAGGACTTGCACAGAGGACCTTCTGGAGGCAGCCACAGAACCTCCCTTCCCCTCAGCAGTACAAAGAGGTGATACCAACCCCAGTGAGAGCAACAAGTCTTCTTTCCTGCCCACTGCAAGAAGAAATATGTGAGACTGCACAAACAGCCTGTGGCCAAACTGAGCACGGCTCAAATTGAGAGCGGCTGAGTGAGGGCCGGTGCTCGGTGCCCCGTTCGCACAACCTCAGCAGAAAGCACTGCGCGGTCAGAGTCACGTTGCTTTATTGGTTACTGAGCCACAATTCAGAGCAGTATTGCCTCGGAGCCCCCTGTAGAAGCAGGTTCTTATCTTGTCTCCTAACATAATTGGTATGACACCACCTTCTATATGGATCACAAAAATAAAAATGTCTCTGCTCACACTTGTAGCATCCCGGGGAAGCTTTGCAGTTTCTGTTGACCCAGGTACCGTAACAGACAGACAGACTCTCACCAGATTAGCCATCTGCATCAATTCTGTGAGCTGTCGGATGAGAACAGTAAAGTGATGTGAGCCACTTCTGCTGGACAAGACGCATCCTAAGTTGAACTTACCCCAGACAGGAACATCTCTAGCTCTAACTTGAACGGGATTTGTACAAACCCACTGCATGTGCATGGAAGTTTCCCCAGTGGGATTTGTGCCTTAAATTGGGCCACAGAGGTGGTCTAGAATTAACAGAGACTTGTGCCCTTCAGCCAGGTCACCATGCCTTCAGAGGGACCAGTGAAACTTGCCACTAGCAGCTCATCTCTGTTCTGCAAAACGGTTCCCAGAAGGAAAACGTTTTGGAGGAAGACAAACAGGGAGGAGGAAGGCACTTGGCTCAGGCCTCCATACTCAGTACAGTCCCCAAGGGACAACCCAGCGCTGTGGACCACCCTGCATGGGCGCAGCGGCGCGGGCAGCCTCTGCTTCCCTCTCAGGCTGCATTTCCACGGCGACAGGGCACGAACTGCTGCAGCGCTGCTGCGACGAGCTCTTCTATGGCCACGGCCAGGGACAGCAGCTCACAGCCTGTGCACCTGGGAGGCCCAGGGCAACGGGCCCCTCTCCCTGATGGAGGCAGCGGCCGCGGGAGGAGGCAGGGCAGCCCCTGCTACTCACATTGCTTTGGTATCCTCAGAGCCTCGTTGTCAGCCGACATCACTTGGTGCAGGACTCCCCGGAACTGATAAAGCACTTTGAGATTCTTCTCCTCACCCACGCAGGGGTCATAGAAACCTGGCAGCCCAGCCTGTAACCAGAGAAGGGCAGACTGAGCACCAGGGAACAGATTTTCACATATAAAAAACTGTTCGTGTATATGTGTGTGTATATATACACACACACACACACACACACACACATAAAGTGTTAAAAAAAAAAAAAATTGATGCCCACGAGATGAGATGAGAAATTGAGGAATCATCTCCACTGTGGCAAGCTGGAAGTGCAGAACCCTGTGAATCAGCGGTCAGGGAGGTTCCTGGTGCAGAGCTCCAGAAAACGCACGCTGTCCATGCAACGAGCACTGAGGCACTTTCTCTGGAAATACCCATCAGAACAGAAGTTCTCAGAGGTTCCTAACGCTCAGTACAGAAATGGTTTTGGCAAATTGATGCTGTGGATGGGAGCGTGCAGGAGAAACCCCCTACTGCCAATGCACATGTTTGAGCCCCGGGCCTGGCCTTTGGCATAGCAGCCACGTACCTTGGAGGCCTCCGTCAGGATGAGCTTGGAGTCCTTCACCAAGCACTGCAGGGGCACAGTCACGTCTATTACTTTCACCTTCTCGTTCTTCCTGCTGTTGTCATTAACAAACTTCCCATACCAGGCATTCACTACAATCAGACCTGCATTTCACAAGAAATCACAAATGTGACAAAAGGTTTCCCAAAGACACCCGGGCAGATACTGAGGAACAGCTCAACTTACTCCCCTCCTCATCCCAGCATTTTCTTTTGCCTTCAATGATAATTCTTAAGGAAAATAGAAGAGAAAGTTTCTACCCTGACACGTGATCTCTCACGACATCAAATCAAACAAGGATGAGGCATGTGGGAACCTTCTCCTCCCCGTTCTGAACGCATAAACGCCGAGACAGATGAACATTTATGCTTCAGTATTTGTCAAAAATCCTCAGCACCAGCACAGAATGACATGTCTTAAATGCCTCGCACATTTAAGTGGCAGTCCAGCTGGAGGTGACTGTTCACTTTGGAATGGTCTCTTAGAAACTGCTAGCAAATTTGCCAGATTTTAGATTTCCTATTACAGTCCAGGAACACGTTATGTAGAGTAGCCCCCTCAACCACTCTCAGTTGCCCCATTCCTCTTTCCAAACACAGAGGACAAGTAAATTGCACAGTCTTTACCCATTCTGGCTTCCTCTGCCTCAATTATCCTCCGGACAGACTCCTGCATTAACCGGACCTGTCACAACACAAGGGGCAAAGCAAAATCAAGCAGTGACAGACACTGTGCCCCAAACAGACAAGCTCAGAATGAAAGCTGCTTCCTTTAACTAAGGATGCCAAAAGCAGAGAGTGTTTTGGGAGCAGGTCGGCAGGCCAGAGCCCGTCTCGAAAGCCATCTCAACACGAGCACAGAACAAACCACATGGGAATCAATGCAGAAAATGGCACAGCTACGCAGTGTCAGAGCACGGAGCAGTAGGGCTGAAGTCTCTCGTACCTCATAAAATCTCTCATTAAACGGTAATATAAAAAAGCAGTCAAGAGGTGGTGGGAGACTTACTGCAGCTTCTGCTTCCTGCTTCTTCTGAAGGATGTCACTGGCAGTGCTCTCCCTTTGCTTCTCCAGCTCTCTGGCATAAGGAAGTCAGCATCACATCAGCTTCACGCAGTGACTGGAAGTCATCCACATCTCAACTCGCCCACCCCAGCTGCAGCTGACACGCAGACTCACACCAGCGAGCCTCCCACCTGGCAAGATCTTGCTGTATGCTCCCAGAACTTACTAATATTGGCAACAGACTAAAACACGGTGCCTCATGCCGACCTCCCAGCCTCGCACTGACTCCCACACGCGCTCGAGCGGGGCTCCCCGGCTCCGTATTTCAAACGGCCTTGCTAACTCACCGCTCCTTCTGTGCCCTGAGGTAGGGTTTGATGATTAGCCTGTGCATAGCAAAGTAAATAACCAGGGGTCCCACGGTGGCATAAAATACAGCACTAGGCAGCAGCTGATCTGTTAGGTGGACAGGGAAGAAGTAGGTCTGGCTCGCCCTGTTCAACCTGGAACAAAAAAAGAAGAGAGCAGCAGATCAGAGGAAGCAGTTTCACATGCCCCATTAAACACGGCTAGTAGTAGCCAAAAGAACTGCCGGCCCAGAGAAGGACCAACAGCGAGCGCAGGCGAGGAACGATGCGGCCAGCCCGGACAGCGGCCCGCAGGCACGTGCACGGCACAGCCTCCTGCCACCAGCGGCACGGGGCTGTTCTAAAGGCTTCTGCTGGTCTTGGGAGAATTGTTTGGACACAAACTTCACTGGGGAATTGATGATGAAGTTGATCATCTGCATCATCAACTAGAGAAAGGCAATCGCTAACAGGGAAGGACTACGTATGCAATCCCTGCCTGTACTTCAGGGAGTTAGTGCATTAATATTTGCTTCACATTTACAGTAACATTTATTCTAGAAAACGTTAGTCTTTCTGGGACTGATATCTTCATGTCTTGAGTTTCTACAGCCCTGGCATGCCCTCTACTGGCAAAGATTTAAAAATGCACTACAGAATATTAACACTTGGGAGTTCTGTACCTCTTTGTGAAAACTGCATCACATGAATAGCATACCCATTTCTTCAGCTAACAGCAATAATCTAATTCAACTCAAATGTATACAGGCGCAATGTCACAATAAATGGAATGCAATTAAGCACACTTCCAAATGTATTTTCAGAGTAAAATCAGCAGAAGGCACACGTTGCTTCAGACAGCCACCACTCGCATAAGAGAGGGCAGCTGCAAGCTTTTATAGGGATATATCAATATAGTGACATATCAATGGCTTTCCCACCTGAACCGCCCGAATACTGGAAACAGACTAATGCAGGTTATGGTCAGTCTTGGGAAACTACAGTGATAAGTTTGAACTGACTTGATTTTCAAGGACACTCCTTGGGGAACACCAACGCTGACGGTGGCTCCGAGGATGCTGTGTCTGGAAATCTTCCTCTCTGCGCCATACTCCACTATGGTCCCAAAGAAACCTGCCCTAGAATGACAGACCAAAGCCCAGTAAGACCAGGGAAGACTCCTGAATTTCTCTTCACTGCAAATCAAAGATTACAGAAATATTTGGCTAGAACCAGCAGGCCTCAGAGCAGAAAAAGGTATGCTCTTTGGGCACAAACTATGTCATTATCCCCTTGCAGACTTACTTGAGAGAACCTTTCACTCGTGTTTGATCCTCATCCTGAAACTTATGCTGGTAACTGACCATCATGAAAGAATGGGGGATTCCTAGCTGAAATACAAAAGGCACAAGTTCATGAAAATTCATCCTCGGCCACAGCTGAACATTTTCCCAAGACTTTCGCACTCTTTAAGCGATACAGAATATACTGATGACTAAACCAACACTGGTATACTGGTTACCAAAGCTAGATGTTCATGGAGGCATTAGGAACCGCTCCTTTATCCTCTTAAGCCTCAAGCCACCAAAGAATGGCTGGGAAGGGAAAGCTGGGGTCTCTCTCTCACACCAAGTGCTATTATTGCCCCCTGCCTACGGCAACAAGGCTCTCACCTGTAATGCCACTGTGAAATGGCTGGTTTTTGTATCCCGAACAATACTAGTGTTCATGGCTGACTGGATGCCCCAGCGCCACTGCAAGTAGCCCATCGTGTTCTTGTCGAGGTTGCGGGCTAGAACCGTGGTGAGGCCTGGACGGATCCCCCGGGATGAGAACTGCAGAGCACAGTTTGTAGTGATGAAACTAGGAGAAACAGGGAGAGCCTCCTCAGCAGTGACACACAGAGCTGGCCTCAGATTCTCGCCTGCCCTGCAGCCTTGGTGGGCATGAAATAAGCAGCATTTGCTGGAAGCAAATCTGGAAGCATGTGCAATTAAAATGGAGCACACATACACATGCAAGAAGAACATAAGCATTCTGACCAGAATTGAAGCGTTGTGTCAGAGCCAAAGAAGAAATAACACTTTTTCTTTTCCTCCCCTCCCACAAGAATTTCCAGAATTAACAAGAAAAACAGTTCAAGATGTTTGGTTCATTAGTGTGGAGTATTAACTATTTGATCATTTTTATAATATTTACCATCTTGGTGTAAGATTACGGAATATCTTCAGACCAAAGAGAGGTCCCTGAAGGTCTCCCGCTCCAAACTCCATCTGTTCAAATTTGCCAAAGGAAAAACAGAATGGGGGTAATTTGGCACTAGTATTTAATACAACGTTTGCTTAGGTATCACTGTATAAATAATGTAAGAGCTCTTTTTGCAGGTCATCTTACAAAGCAGGTCAGTATCATTAATCCCATTTTCTGAAAGCGGAGCACTGAGAGGTGAAACAAAGCTAAGGCCTCCCTTAAGAAAACTAAGACTAGCTAACGACTTGCAGCAGCCCGAAGTAGACTGGATACACAAAATGAGCAGTGGCTAACACCCTTACCTCTCCCCAGCCCTTGGCAGACGTCACCCGCCGAAGAGCGAAGTTAATGGAGCCGCCTCCGTTCCCGTTCTGGGTGGACAGGTTACCGGACAGTATTGCTGTGTCTGTGGCAGTCAGCGGTGCCTGCAAAACGACCGTACCGTTACCCATTGGTGTAATCAATCCTGCAGATGACTGCAGAAGCTGTAGGCATATGGAGGAGGCAGGTAATTCCCCGGGCGATGGCTTGTCATCAACCTGGGTGTCTGAACCAGATATGGCCGCACTTACTGGGAGCTCTGTACCCCAAGACAGAGCGCAGCACTAACCCCTGCAGCGCGAGACACCTTCTGGGACACCCGCCCTTGAGCTGCAACCCCTTCCAATCCAGCATGAGACTGGACCTTTTCAGTGCTCTGGAACAGGGGAAACTCCCCTCCCTCCTCCTTGCCCATCACCTTCTCCTCCTTCCCTTACGCTGACCCCAGACACATGTCTTCAGCCATAGCGCAGCCTCCTTGCTGCGGGCGAGCAGGAACGCTGCAGCACCGAAGCCGGCGCCTCGGGGCCCCGCGTGCCCTCAGGAACACGCGCGGTGCCACCAGCGCGAGGCCCTGCTGCCCTGGGCCCCTCCGCACAGGAAGGGGACGCCCAAGCAGCGCTCCCTTCCCAGCCGCTTCGCCCCGTCTGGGCTCGGACCGGCTCCGCACCGGCACACGCGCTCGCCCCCTTACCTCGATGGACTGCGATATGTGCATTTTATTTATTTCAATCTGGGGAAAGCTGCTCCCTGGCACATCCTCATATTCTTCATCGTAACGATCGAAGAGGTCCGTGGCATCTATTCCAACGCTGATTGTTCCCTAGGAAACAACAAGTGGAACAACTGCATCCAGGCATCCACGCAGGCCAAATGGATAGGGCATCTCTACGTATACTTTGGAGTTTAAACCGTAACTTTTCTTTTTGTTGTTTTACAATTACCTTGCTCTATTCTGAACTGCATTTCTTACACATTCAAGGGACATACATACAAAACGGAATGATTACAAAAGTCTAAAATAGCTATACGAGTCAAAGCAAACTGGATAAAAACTTAGCATTGCATCCCAGGTGAAAAACTGGGTATTTTTTTCTACTGTTATATAGAGCAGAAGTAGGTAGAACATTTTCATACACAAGGGTTCTTCTTCCTCCACAACTAAATCTAGCTCTGCTCTGTCACTATTTTAAAGATGTATTTTAGAAGTTAACCCTCTCCAAGTTACTTGGCCAAACAGCCTCTAAGCACTTCCTTCTTATGAATCATCTGAAACAACAGAGTTTTGAGCTGCATCATTCACTTACCATTTACTTTATTAGTCAAACATTTCCTTGTCTTTTCCCTGGTCTACATCTTATAAATCAGAAGAAAAGGTTGACAAGGATAGGAAATGTTTACCACTTGGTAAAAGTCTTTCTCAAACAACTGAAATAATGCCTAAAGCTTATTCCTAGGCAAAGAGAAAAAAAATAGGCCGGAGCTAAACAGTCTGGCTAAATGCTGCTGTGTTCATTCAGACTAACTGCAAGAGTGGGTTTATTTGAAAAGGGCATGATGAGATTCTTCTCTGAGTCACACAGCTTCAACAGACTTTGGAAAACTCCCTGCAGCTCTATTAACCAGCACTCCAGCTCATGTGAAATACACCACTTGCAGTAAATGCCTCCCTGCACGAGCACAGAATTAACCCTGAAAGATGACCTGTACAAATGAAGCGCTGCACAAAGGCACAGACATTGTAAACATAAATGGAATAAATTCTTACTTCAATCTGAGTGAGCATTTTTTCCATGCTCACTGCATTCTAATAAAACCCAGACCCAGCTATAAGAACCGCAGAGTCTGACAAGACTCACAGTCTGCTTCAAAGTCTTGGTCTGGTTTGGCTCCAAATATTTATCTGTTGTGGAGATTCCACATCTGTTCGTAAGAATGCTTATTTTCCAATTTCTTACACGGGGAAAATGGGACAAGTATCTTAAAATAGAAAGGTCTGCCTGTTTCCAAGAGAACTGTGCAACAGGGACTGTGTCCTGACTGTTTGGAAATTCTTCCTGGGAGAGAGCTGAACTCCCCCCTGCACACTTACCTACCCGCCTGTGGCAGTCCAAGCCACGACCTCCTGCCCCTTACACGGAGAGGACTATTTCTGGGGAGCGATCCGCAAAGTCACCTTCCAGGGATCTGCTCCTCACACGCTGCAGCTTCCTAACTCTCAGTGCTCTCCTACGCTGCGCTGTTCCTTGAACCAAGGCCAAGCTGGCTCAGC